ATCCTGTGATAATTCCTAAACTTTTTTTCATCTTTAAGGCGCATTTACTTCACCAGATTGTGATAAGCACCTTGTTGTTTCCTGTATTTAAATATTTCGCAAACGTCCACTGTCCTATGTATTCTATTCCGTCTCCTTTTCAATAATAAATAAGCCGCGACTGCTCGCCTTCTTCGCCAATAAAACAAATCCATTTCAAATAAAGTTTTTGTTAGAAATTTTCATAAACAAAATGTATTGTGTGGTTACTTTGTTTATTCTTGGGGTGACAGCACGTGACAGGCACTGTCAGTGTGACAGTCATAATAAATGTCTCCAGAATCCTGTCAAAACCGTTAAAACTTTCGTAGGTACATGAATTGAAATTGAAAAAGATATTTTTTTTTGCGAATTTCGCAATTCGCAATTCGCGATTCGCATTTACATGAACTAGCCTTTATAAGCCTCATGTATTGTAAAAACAATAGATAAAGACTTAAGTCATCGCAAAAATGTATCTGATCTACTGACATGAAATTTTATGTATTGCGAAAATTGCTTTTTTACACTATGCTTTCAATGTAGCGCAGATTATCGGTTTTTACAATAGGTGTTTTTACGATACATTCATCCTAGTTTCAGAGAAACATGAACTCCATTTGTATTAAAAAGTAAAAAAGACCTCCATAAAAACGGGAGCTCGAAACTTCACAAGATTGTGAGATTGTGAGGCTTACAAATGACATGACAGCGACAGTTGGAAAAAAATGAAAGCGCCAAAATCCACGCAGGCGCACAACCCATCTTGATGTATGTTTAATTAAGGATGAGGAGAAGATGGTGAAAACACTGATAGTGTTTTGTTTCGACCAAAACGCTTACGCCATTGTCATTGAAAATGGCATAATAGTTCTCACTTCTCCGGAAGATGGCAAATTTCTTACAGATTTCTGTAATATCAACCTTACTTCTTGACAATTGTCAGTGTCACTCAGAGTGTATTCAAATTCAAAATTCCAATTTCCCAGTGTTTTTCAAATCCCAGTTTCCAGTGTATTTTCCGTGTGTTTAATTTCGATTTTTGTTATCCAGTTGATATTTTCCTCTTGTTTCCTCAGTTTCAGTTCGTAGTGTTGTTTTTTGTGTTGTGTTGTTCAAAAGATTTTCTGATGCCGGAGAAACGAAAAACTCGTAGAGGTGTGATTTGCGGCAATGAAAATGACTCTTCTACACATTTGTATGCAGTTCCAAAGGTGAGTTAGCATGAAAAGTAATAAAGTAGGTACGGAAGTACAACTTTCCATTTTGTGAAGTAGGTAGTTACAGGTTGAGGTGTCGTATTTATAGTGAGTTAAATGCAGTGGTAGAATAATAATATGAACATAATCAGAACTTCAGTCTCTCTTGGCCTGTGTGGAGTTTAATTTTTTTTATAAATATCCACTTATATGTATACTTCAATAAACTTACACAAGTAATGTGTAACATATGACCCCGTCAGTAGTGTTTTTTTAGCAAAATTTCGTCCATTCTTGTTCCAATGGTTGAAGCAATGACGGCTAAATAGTAAATATCAAGTATAAGCTGCCGACCTGATCATGACTGTCCATACAGCGGACATCATGTTTAGGAATCTACTCTTTTTTTTTTCATTCCCCGTATCCCGCGCCATCTATTGAAAAAATTGGAACTGTTTTTATGCTAACCTAGAAATTGAGAGATGTCACTGGTGACAGATATTGGTACAGATACCTACATTGCCTGCAGCGATGACGGCGTGGCTTAGCCGTAATTCTGTGAATTCTGTGGTCAATGCCAAATCCAAATGCACTTTTGCTAGTTTTGCATAGGTTATGTTTTTTTAGTCTCAGCTGACTCCTTGGACTTGTAATTTCCTATAAATCCCTATAATAATTATTGATTGAAGATTAGACCTAATCAATGATTAGCATTTAAACCATGTGTAAACGTGTCGTGAACAGTCGCTTTGGTGAAATTAGGAGGCTTGAAGTTGGTGCAAAATTCCATGACATGAACGATCAATGTGCTCCGGACGAATTTGTAAAGATTATTTTTTCCTTTCCTTTCCTAATTAGTTGTTGTTTATTTTTGATAGTACAATTCTTGAATTAGTCATTGAACATCTACATATATCATTCAGGTGTTTTATTTCTAGAGATCATAAATATCAAACACCAACTACCTACTATTAGGTGCGTTTTGTTGCTCACTCTGAGAAGAGAGCGAATAAGCATTCAAGAAGACGGCGAGAGCAGAGCTCCGAGAAAACAGCTCTCTGTCTCTCTTGGTTGATTTCTCATCAATTTTTGAGGTTATATTTGGTTCACAGAGTTTTATACTTTTTCCAGATTCCTGATGGAGAAAAAATTCCATTTATCATCTTTTATGCCATGGGTTCACCACAGAATGACAATACTATTATATTTCGATAGTGATGAATTATTACATCCTCGAATCCTTCGAGAAATCATTTCGAGGTTGTTTTTATATTCCCATATTTTGAGGAGTTTTCCCCGTATTCTTATTGTTTTAATTACAGGTTCACCACTGAAAAAGTGCCTAAAATTGAAAATTACCTGGAAGTTGTTTCAAGCTTGAGGGACAAAACTTTTCAGCAGCATTTTCGCCTTTCTAAGTCAACATATGAATCAATATTGAATTATTTAGGTCCATTTTGGGATACGATCATCAAGAGAAATGAGGAAGAAGGAGGAAATGAACAAATCTCATTAAATAAATCATTGCTCATTTGTTTATGGGTGCTTGCTACATCACCAGATAGTTATAGGTCAGTAGCTGAAAGATTTGGTGTCAGTAAATCTACTGTTTATAAGTGCCTCATTAGAATTGTATACCTAGTAAATATCAACCTCTGTCCAAAATTCATCAAGCTTCCTTCACCTGAAGACAGAATGAACAATGCAATCCATTTCGAAGCAAGGTACAGTTTTCCAAATGTTATTGGATGTATAGATGGTTGTCACATCCCTATTCGAAGGCCTTCACATAATGGTAATGATTATTTTAATAGAAAAAAAGTTTTATTCTGTAGTTCTTCAAGGAATATGCAAGTATGATTTGTCATTTATGGATGTTGACTGTAGATGGCCAGGCAGTGTACATGATGCCAGAGTATTCACGAACTCTCCTGTGTTTGAAGTCCTTGAAGAATTGTGAAGTCCTAATTTTTTCATCATCGGAGATTCAGCATATCCTTGTTCAAGGTGGTTGTTATGTCCATTTAGAAATAATGGGTTGCTAACTCATCCTCAGAAGTACTACAATACAACTCTCAGTAAGACAAGAGTAGCAATTGAAAATGCCTTTGCTCTTCTGAAAGGTAGATTCAGGCGGCTCAAGTATTTAGAAATGTATGACATAGGAGAACTGGGTGAATACAGTAATATGCTGTTGTACTTTCCACAACATCTGCCTTGCACAGAATGAAGAAGTGGATGAGTTTATGCAAGAAGGATTGGTAAATGCAGAAGTACTCCATGATGCTGTAGATTTTGAGGTTGCAGCTAATGATGGAGAAAATGCTCGAGGTGTTGTTACTGAATGGAATTTGAGAAATGATAATTGAATCTATTAATTTCTATCATGATGTATTGTTGGATTATTTTAACTATTTTCATGATTTTCATTAGGTGGAATTATTATAGTGATATTGATACACCTTTGAAACATCAGTTTAAATTTTATTCAAAAAACATAAGAACCTAACATAATTAGAAAAAATAACACAACATTAAATGGTTGCTCCATGGTTCAACCCACATTTGAATTTAATGAACTAAGATTCTTTGTCATTCAAATTTTTCAAAATAGTTTCCATAAAGGATTTAAGCTCCTCATGCTGACTTTTCAGTAAATCCAACTTTTCTTTCTCTCTTCTCTCAAGATTATTTTCATGGGTTTTCAGAAACGAGAGTAAATCTGATTTAGAACCACCCTCTTTTGAGGATTTCTTCTTCACACCAGTTATAGGTCAGTAGCTGAAAGATTTGGTGTCAGTAAATCTACTGTTTATAAGTGCCTCATTAGAATTGTATACCTAGTAAATATCAACCTCTGTCCAAAATTCATCAAGCTTCCTTCACCTGAAGACAGAATGAACAATGCAATCCATTTCGAAGCAAGGTACAGTTTTCCAAATGTTATTGGATGTATAGATGGTTGTCACATCCCTATTCGAAGGCCTTCACATAATGGTAATGATTATTTTAATAGAAAAAAAGTTTTATTCTGTAGTTCTTCAAGGAATATGCAAGTATGATTTGTCATTTATGGATGTTGACTGTAGATGGCCAGGCAGTGTACATGATGCCAGAGTATTCACGAACTCTCCTGTGTTTGAAGTCCTTGAAGAATTGTGAAGTCCTAATTTTTCCATCATCGGAGATTCAGCATATCCTTGTTCAAGGTGGTTGTTATGTCCATTTAGAAATAATGGGTTGCTAACTCATCCTCAGAAGTACTACAATACAACTCTCAGTAAGACAAGAGTAGCAATTGAAAATGCCTTTGCTCTTCTGAAAGGTAGATTCAGGCGGCTCAAGTATTTAGAAATGTATGACATAGGAGAACTGGGTGAATACAGTAATATGCTGTTGTACTTTCCACAACATCTGCCTTGCACAGAATGAAGAAGTGGATGAGTTTATGCAAGAAGGATTGGTAAATGCAGAAGTACTCCATGATGCTGTAGATTTTGAGGTTGCAGCTAATGATGGAGAAAATGCTCGAGGTGTTGTTACTGAATGGAATTTGAGAAATGATAATTGAATCTATTAATTTCTATCATGATGTATTGTTGGATTATTTTAACTATTTTCATGATTTTCATTAGGTGGAATTATTATAGTGATATTAATACACCTTTGAAACATCAGTTTAAATTTTATTCAAAAAACATAAGAACATAACATAATTAGAAAAAATAACACAACATTAAATGGTTGCTATCCATGGTTCAACCCACATTTGAATTTAATGAACTAAGATTCTTTGTCATTCAAATTTTTCAAAATAGTTTCCATAAAGGATTTAAGCTCCTCATGCTGACTTTTCAGTAAATCCAACTTTTCTTTCTCTCTTCTCTCAAGATTATTTTCATGGGTTTTCAGAAACGAGAGTAAATCTGATTTAGAACCACCCTCTTTTGAGGATTTCTTCTTCACACCTTGTTCTTTAGTTGAAGTGTCTTGAGGTTCCTTCTGTTTTTCTAAAAGAGATCATAATTTTAACTAAACAATGAGAATTATGATCAAGCAAGGCTTAGAAACATCAGGAAAATACATAATAATCCTTAAAAGAGTATAGTTCTCAATTCTGGGAATATGGAAACAAGGAAATTTTGGAACAAAAACTTATGAATACCTAGTATAGCTAGCTACCTTATAATTTTGCTAGGAAGACCCATAAAAACAATTCATTATTTGAATTTCATTATAGCATAACTTGTACATTATTTATTTACCTTATTTCAACTTTTCTTTGAGTTGGTTGCGCAGATTACTATTACTAGTGTTACTCAATTGTATACTGGAACAACCAGCCTTTGGTTCAACATTTGGTCGATCACCAATAATCTCTGATATCATTTGATGGTACTTCCAAGCTTTTGGAGCATTTCCAGTTTTATTGTTATGATCTTTAATATCCTTGAATTTTTTAGCCAAACTTTTCCATTCATTTTCTGGTTGAGCAGATGTTATAATGAATTCTCCTTTACTCTGGATGTTCATGTCACAACTAATTGTGTCAAATAAAGTTTTCTTCTTGATCCTAGGATCAGTGAGTTTCAACTTATATTTATTTACGATATCAATCAGTAGTAGTGTTTCAGCCTCACACCATTCTTTTCCTGAAAATAACAGGTTTGTGATAACAATTTAGACAATTCATGCCAAACCTAATAATGAATTATTCGAAAATGATAACATCACCAAAAGAATTGATATGAGTCTTCAGATCGCTGGGTCAAGGATATGTAGGTACTACACTTACTCTTATCACTATTGGATTCCTCTTCATGTTCTTCTGCAATCTGACTTTCTGTTTCTTCTGGATCTAGATGAATCCAGTACTGTGTCTGATCTAAAACACGGTTTATTTTACTGTATCTAAAGCAGGATCAAATTCCAGGTGTTGAAAATATAGCTTTTGCCATTCTTACCATTGTCCCTTGCATCTTTGTCATTACGAATGAAGTGACCTTCGATTCCTATAAAGGAATACCCTTCGGGTAGATTCATGTTTGAAATTCCAAACAATCCCAATCCGTCAATCCAAGATGAAAACACACATATAAAGAAGTAAATTGTTTCGAAATCATAACCTCAAACGAAAAAATTGCATTTCACGTTGTTTTTTCCACACATGATACATCAATTTACCTCTGCTCGATCGAAATCCATAGAGCAGCCAGAGCGAGTAAGTTTCATATTAAACAATAGAATATAGGCCAAGAAAACGATTAAAATAACTATTCCATAATAGGGCTATAGGCAACAAAACGCACCTATTGAGTGCCATCAACTACTCACTCATGAAATGATTGAACAATATGGAATAATAACAATGTATTATGCTGTTCGTTGTGAAATTGACAGAAACTAATCATGGGACAACCTCACATCTTGGAAAGGGTGCTCTTCAGTAGTGGATACAAACTTTGTGAATACTCTGATTTGAGGTAAGTTATTAAAATCTTTCATGGGTGAGTGTATTTAGCAAACTATAATGGTGGCATATTCACCATGTAATAGAATTGTAAAAAATAGGTCAGTTTAAGAGACTATAGTTTGTTGTGAGGCCGGCGTACCTCAGTGCTTCGATGCTTCAATATCGATTCACGTCGAGGTATCGATCGTGGGTTCGAGACCCACGAACGCAGACTTTTTCTGATGGCCTAAGAAAGTGTTTGGGATCACACGTTAAAAGGTAAGGCCCCCGTCATTCCTTGCTCGCACAAGACTTTCGAAGACTTCTGAGGGTTGCTCGTAAGGGGGCAACCGAATGACGGATAGAACAATTTTAGAACAATTTAGAACAATAGTTTTATATAATATATACATATATGTATATTATATAAAACTATAATCTCTTAAACTGACCTATTTTTTACAATTCTATTACATGGTGAAAATGGTCTGTTTTCTTTAGACCATGTGAATGAGGAAGGCCAATAATTTTCCATACTTATAATTATTAAAGAACCTTGATATATTATTTGAAATATAAATAAATTGAATTGGTGAATGCTTGAATTATTGTAACGTGTTCAGAGGTTGAAAGTATGGCAAAGTCAGCTAAATGTTACATTTTCAATTTTCAATATTGTTCATTATGGTTTTTGTGGATATCCTTGATCACTATCACTAATATCTTGACTAATGGAGATTCATTTTCAGATCCATTCAACAAACATACAAAAATGTATGCAGCTATAAATAATGTAGATACCTTCCAAACAATAAATACAAGTACCTACTCCAAGTAGAATTCCTCTAATTTTAATTAATCTTGATATATTTAGGTAAGTTTTGTGAATTTTGTACTAACAGGGTTTGTTGAAGCAATTATACACAATTCTACTGTTTCTTTCCCCATATATTATCGAAAATCAGAAAATTTTTAGACATTAGGTAATATCACATTTTTTCAGGATATGAATTCAGATGGTTCACATTTTTCAGAAACACCCTCCATAAAAAAGGTATAGGATCATAATGTCTCTTCATACCTCTCTAGCTCTCCTGAATTCCCAGATGTTCTTCAAGAGAAACCAACAGGATGTTTGATATACAGGGTATCTTGAAAAGGTTTGTAGAAAATGCTTTAACAAATTACTTGGACTAGATGAACATTTTCAAAAGTTTCAAATGTTTCAACATACTTTTGAATACTGTGAAAACTTGGATGTAGCTATATTGGTATGAACATTTTTAGGTGCATTAAATATGGTAATAAGTAAGTATAGTCTTGCGATGGATGAAAGCTTTCATTGTAGTTTGAAATTGAATTTTTATTCCAGCTGGACTTCAAGAGGGGAAAATCATCAATTTTGATTTCAGAAAGCATACTAGGTACAAAAAAATACTGAAGAGACCAGGTATTGATTCCCGTGTAGCGAAGACCAGCTGGTTTTAGGCCAATCTGAGAGTTTTTGCAATAATGACAGGTGAACACTTGTTTTGTATACTTTTATTTGCACTGAAATATCATTTATTCTAGTTGTAGTCAGCTCAACTAAAGATTTTTATCTCGATTTTGATGGAAAAATGGTTGAAGAGAACAGTAAAAACAAAACAATGATCTCCCATGAAAATGAATGATAACTTTTCTATGCATCACTTCCAAGAGATGGAATCTGCAGGTAAAAAGGAAATAAATGAAGGAGTTATGGAAGAAAACCATGCTGTGATCATCATGAAAACTGGGAACGCCCTGTATATTCTATTTCATATTTTTATTTTACATATATTTTGAGGTTTGTTTAGTGATTTGTCAATGGATTGGAATAAAGTTTACATACTGTCTGTAGGTTGATCGAGGAGGTGGTACATTCATTTTACTTGGTTCTTTGGGATTTTCTCTCCTCGTTTCTATAAAATAAAAGTATTCGTATTATTTCAATATATTTGTAGAGGGACAAATCAGATGATTTGCCCCAAAATGTCACTGCGTTTAACAAATTTTTCTATCAGGGAGTCTAAAAGAAAAATCCAGATTGGTGAATCGTTCTATCAAATTGAAAACAAACAAAATACACCACAACAAAAACAACCATCAATAACGACGAATATAATACCGTACATTTCCGGCATACCTATCTGAAAAAATAAAACGTGTTGGTGATATGTTCCAAGTGAAAACTGTGTTCAAAACTGAAAATACAATGAGATCCATTCTAACTCAAACAAAGCCAAAAAATGAAGAACAATCATCAAAAAATTGTATTTATAGTATACCTTGTGTTTGAGGAAAGTATTATACAGGTGAAACGAAGAGACCTCTCTCAGTGAGGACAAAAGAACACAAGTACAATATCAAGAAAAGACATATCGATAAATCGAAGCTAACTGAACATATTCTCACTGAAGATGGACAACATATGGCACAGTGGAATAATATCCAAAATCATAGGAAAGGAAGATAACAAACAAAAAAGAAAAATAAAGGAATCCGCTTGCATTCTTCTAAACGGAGACAATAGCATTGCTTCCTGTTCAGTTGATATTGATAGAACATGGTATTCACTACTGAAAACTGAACATGAAAATGGTAGATTCAAGATCAATTAATGAAAACATCCTGTAACTCATTTGTAGACTAAAATCACTCATTGATATGCCAACATCAGTATGACACTGAAAAGTGTCAAACTATACGCAGCACAACTTTCAAAGAAAAATAATTTGCATTTACATGTTGAGAACGGGAGCAGAATAGGTCCCGAAACGTCCAAAGATAAGTACAAATTCGATATTTTTTCAATATATCTATATTTCTTTCCTTCGAAAATTTTTTCAAACAAATTGTCACTGACAAGCTACCGTGTAATGAGGTGGCTTCGGACGGTACGGGTGATTTCGGACAGTCGGTACTTTTCGCTCTCAATCGTGAATGTCGCGGAAGGAGGTATCGCGATAGACGTGAATCTTCTGACTAGCGTCTGCGGACAGGTGCAAGTAATAACTCCGTGGTAGGGGAACGTTAGTTAGCTTGTGTCGAGTCTAATATAAGGAAGGCATTTTTTTTTAACAATCAATCGACCTAGATGAACCTTTTTTCTTGAAGAAGGAGAATTTTTCTTGAGTAAGGAAAATATTGTTTCTGCATAAAAAATGAGAAGGCGGTACATATACTAAAAATTGGAACGATACAGAGAAGATTAGCATGGCCCCTGCGCAAGGATGACACGCAAAATCGTAAAGCGTTCCACATTTTTAGTATATGTACTCGCTTCGGCGGTACATATACTATTTATGAGTATATCTGTACTTGTATTAACACCAAATAAAATATTCTATTCTATTCTAACCTAACCTAACCGAACCTCACCTCTGGCCTCCTTGCGCAGGGGCCATGCTAATCTTCTCTGTATCGTTCCAATTTTTAGTAATGTACCGCCTTCTCATTCTTTATGCAGAAACAATATTTTCCTTCCTCAAGAAAAATTCTCCTTCTTCAAGAAAAAAGGTTCATCTAGGTCGATTGATTGTTAAAAAAAAATGCCTTCCTTATATTAGACTCGACACAAGTTAACTAACGTTCCCCCACCACTTGCACCTGTCCGCAGACGCTAATAATCTTCTGCAGGTTGAATTTTGTTAGTATAGGTCCGGTGGTCGAGAGTGTAGTTTGCGTAGAGAGGTAAGGAAGAATTGTTCACGTCGGTATTTATATGAGCGTATTTTTATTGCGAATTCTCAAAAGTGAAAAAGTAACTGCTGTAGCACTTTTTGTGTTGAATGTAGAGCTCAGTGGCATATGTTCAATCAAAGGGTGATGTTCAAAGAATGCTTCGATGATGTATCTGTTTGAAAATTTCATAGAATTTTTTTATACAGGGCGATAACCAGAACATCAGCATTATTGCGGAAGACTTCGGACATGGGCCGGACCTATAGAAAAATCCTTGGCGGACGTTCGTACAAATCGTACCAATGAATCGTCAGTAGAGGACACCAACGAGAGAATAGAAACTATTTCTACTAAGACTGATTTAGAAAATTTGAAGAAAAATGATTTCGCAATAATCAAAGTGCCTATATTCAATTCAAAGAAATATGAACTTTATGTTGCCCAAATTTTATCACAATTGGGAGATGATCACTTCCAAGTTAGCTTCTTGATAAAAAAACAATTTGGGGAGGAATTTTGGTTCTCATTTCCATTCCGGATTGATGAAGCGACTGAATTATACAGAAATTCACCAAAAAATTACTATGGATGAGTTTAGAAGAGGAAAATACAAATTTTGTGATTTGAATGATATTTTTTTGTTCTAAAATTTGTTCTATCCGTCATTCGGTTGCCCCCTTACGAGCAACCCTCAAAAGTCTTCGAAAGTCTTGTGCGAGCAAGGAATGACGGGGGCCTTACCTTTTAACGTGTGATCCCAAACACTTTCTTGGGCCATCAGAAAAATTTCTGCAGTCGACGGGGATCGAACCCACGACCGGCAGCGAATGCGAATTAGAATATAGACACTCTGTCCGCACGGCTACCTGGCCACCCATATGGTCAT